TTAGAGATTGCTGTAAAAACAAAGATAATAAAAAAGTAGGAAGGACAGTATGGACAGTATTAAATCACATTTTACTTTCAATTTCAGTTAGTGACCAGGGAACATATCATCATATTTAAGGCTTTATAATGAATAGTCTCCTTTATGTGTGTGTCACCTCACTGTCTATGTGTAAGCTCTGCTAAAACCTTTTGATTCCATGTTGTCTGTGTGCAAGTATTTTGTATGATCAAGTTCTAATGTCATCAGTCTCTGGCTTTGTCTGCTAATTTCATTTAATAATGAACCCAAGAGACCAATAAATGTTGGCATATCTTTGAAAGAGAAGCAGAGGTATAAATAGAGGATTTGTGTTATCTGATTCTCATTTCACTGCTGCTCAAATCTAACACAGCCGTCAGTAATAGTGTAGTTTTCTCACTGTGGCAAATATCCTTTCAGCATCCAGGAGATGTCGCGACAGATTGTGTTCTGGAATGCTTTCACTTTTTTGTTCTTTATTTACAATCAATGCTTATCTCAGTGACCTTGGTGAGGTGACTATGTCAGATAGAGTATTTGTTTTTAGTGATAAAGCAGTGACCTACTATAGTTTCTCCCCCTCCTGCACTGCAGTTACGTAACTTTGTTGAACAATCATCGGCAAGAGATAATGTTCTATATATAGGTGTTGGTGACCTCCAATAGGCTGCCCATACATTTGTCCCTACAGTTTACAATATGACGGATTACCACCTTGCTTTGTGTAATCTACACTCACACCGTATATTTTTGTTCCGATTCTTTCATAACTGTAAAGTCAAGAATACAAGTTGAAATTAACTTTTATTGTCATTCATCCTTGTACAAAGTATACGACTGAGTGAGTTGTCGTTTCTCACGGACCAAAGTGCAAAAGTAATGCAACAAATCACATAAAATAAACATAAAAACATAACATTAAAACAGAAGTGGACTTCAAATATAGGTGTGTTGCATATGACTACTGATAAGACCTGTGTGCAACACCCATTGTAAACACAATAAAAAAAGTAGACATGAATTTGCAATGTACTGACACTGTGGTGAGCAAATATATGGTCTACTCTAAGGATTGAAAAGGTGGACAAAGACTAAATAGTATCTACTGAGCACAAATCTTACTAATGAGACTTATTTGCAGCCAAAATATTAGATGCGGTCACTACAGGGATGACATACAAATGACGATAGAATACAATAAAGAATACAGGAGAGCCAGGGGTTTGATACATGACACAAAAATATTCAAACACATACAAATGTTATGGGTTTTAATAAGATAACATTTAAAAATCAGATGTATATTTTTCATCAACATCTCAGAAAAATGACTGAATTTGGTTTGTTATTAATAAAGTTACATTTATGGGATCAATAAGTTTATGATTAAAATAATACATTAATGTTGTTTTGCATTGGTTTTGACAAAATAAAACAAATTGTCCCATTATAAAACAAAGTTCAAACTTATATATATGAATTAAACCCGATTAAACTCTGTATCTTCACTTCTTTATATATAGTCTATGATCTTCACTCATCGAGTCATACATCACGTGACTTCCGGAAGTGGTGACTTCCGTATCATGTGACCTCCAATAACAATCCATGGCGGCGCACTGCTCCACAGCGCTGCTGACACGGTCAGGTAGGACCCGAGCTGAAATCCTTTGTAAACCCGGGTTAGCAGCTAGCTTCATTGGCTTCTCTCACTGCCCACGTTAAAACAACGTGCTCGGTTAAAAACACACTGTTTCTCGCTAACTTCGGTTCGGATAGATACAGAGAAGTTACACTGAGGTGTCATCGTTTACATACACAGAAAGCAGAATGATAGAAACACATGGTAATGAATATTCTGTAGTCCCGTTCAAAACTATCACTAACTATGACCTCTATACTGAAACAGGCCAGTCAACTCTTCTATGACAGTCAGTACTATGGGAGTGATCACTGGGTATATGTGATAGATAGATAGATAGATATTTGGCAAAGTAGGTTTGTGCATACCATATTTAGAAAAAGCTGAGCTTATATTACCTACCCTCATCACACATACTCTTATACATAGTACACAGTCCGATCCAATAACTAGAGATGCACATGACTGCACATCACTTTACTGTTACCATCTCAGCACAAGTGCATAAATGCAAACACAGTTCCACACAGATGCAAACCCAGCCTTTACCTTAACACCATATTAATTATATATATAGCTAACCCTCTCATCTAAACTTGTGTTCATACGATACACAATATTTTTAAAAAAATACACATTGTTGTCAATAGTTGCACAGTTTGCCAAAAAAGACACTTCCTGGCCTTTCTGCCATTTTCTTCTTAACAGATGAGTATTGTCAGAGTGAGCACTCTTACTTGAGCTGCCATGTTTTTCTCCAGGATTGGGCAGTTTCCTGCAGAGAGTTTGCTGCTGTATTCCCTCTGCCCCACTGTGTCAGCAGCACCGCCGCTTCTTCTGGAGGAAGTGGGGAAATTCTCACAATGTAGTTCGCCCAGCTACTGTCAGGCCTGCATATGCAGTGCCCAAGGTACAGGACCCAATGTTCCCATTTTGCCACAGTACTAATTATGAAGCACGCTTATGATGGAACCCCGTTTAAAACGATGCTCTGATTACATTCAAACGTTCTTCATTTGAAGGGGTCCATTGTCTCCATTAATAGCATCAGTAGAGATGCAGAAGGTTTGGAATGAGCAGTAGATTAAGATTTGAAATCACTTGGCTGAAGCATTTACAGAATACTTGCAGTGAGGTAAAAATTACCACATATGAAATTATGATGGGATTACAAACCATCATCAGAATAGTTATGTTGATTTCAATTAATGGCTCCCTTCGCATTAAAATCACTCCTAGTAAAACACTAATAATAATGTTGAAGGAAAACTTAAAAGTGGTTCTGACTGATTTTTCTCAGTAAACCGAACATAGACACTTGATAAACACTCTTTTAATTTCATCATTTTCTAACATGGTTTGGTCTCTATGGTCTCTTATTTTATATGGAACCCTGGGACAACTGTATGACCCTTCACATCCTGTCCTTCCTGACTGCAGCACATTGTGCGACCTGACTATGTAGGAACTAGACTTGTCCCGGAGTGGCCGGATTACATAGAGATAAAAAACCAAGAGCAAATCAATGGCCTTGCCCGAGTGTGTCAGCTCGCAAGACATGTGCTGTTACACGCTGCAAGCAGTTTGAAGGTAAGTACCGAACCATGACACTATTGGTTAAAAGTACCATTTTAAAAAATAATTATGACCTGTGGCTTCCAGGTAGGCATGACAACAGATGAAATAGACTTCATAGTGCACCAGGAGACAATCAAACACAACGCCTACCCATCCCCTCTCAGATACGGCGGTTTTCCTAAGTCAGTCTGTACGTCTGTGAACAACGTGGTCTGTCATGGGATACCTGACAGGTAAATGGTCATAGGCTCACAACCATTGCATACTTTTAACGATTTAATCCATTTCCTTGCAACATATCAGTATCATTTTGGAAAAGATTGCATTATCGGAAAAAAATTAACCAGATAAATATCGATACAGTCTATAGATTTCTGACTGTGTGTATAGATGATGTTCAGTATTGATGATATTACAAAAAACTGCAAGATTCTCTGTATTCATCAGTTATTCTTTTAATTGTATCCTGCAGCCGGCAACTTCAAGATGGAGATATCATCAACATTGATGTGACAGTAAGTGGAAGCCTTAACAGACACACTAACAATCCAACAAACTCATAGACACACAATCAGTCAGAGCAACTCTGTTCCTGTCCCTGACTTCTTCCTATTCCTGCCAGGTGTATTTTGATGGTTACCATGGTGACACGTCAGAAACTTTCTTAATCGGCCAGGTGGATGAGGCTGGGCAGCGGTTGGTGGAAACTGCCAGGCGTTGCCGAGATGAGGCCATCGCTGCCTGCAAGCCGGGTGCTCAGCTCTGTGTTATAGGAAACACTATTAGGTACAAACACGCACACACAAAAATGCAAAAAAACACACATTGAAATGTATATTTGCCATATAATCACACATCTCTTTTTGACAACTGATACTTTTTGCCCTGCTGGCAGTGAAATAGCTCGAACCAACGGCTTCCAAGTGTGCCCTTATTTCATTGGTCATGGAATAGGCTCCTTCTTTCACGGTCATCCTGAAATCTGGCACCACGGTAAGTTTGGGTCTGTGGTCAGATGATGAGACAAAATCTTATGTCAATTGTAATTGAACTATAAATCTGTTATTAATTCCAGGATATAGTTTGCCTTGTGAGCCAGATGACTTTCAGAAGAGACTCACAAGTCATTTTTAATTTGTGAGACTGTTATTGAAAACTGAAATGAATATTAAAATAATATCAGCTCTTTGTTATTCTTTATTTTTAGCTAATGACAATGACATGACCATGGATGAAGGGATGGCTTTCACAATAGGTGAGATACCATTTTATACTTTTTATATGCACATAAAGATGCTGCGTGTGAGTGTGGAGCTGATATCGTATGCTAATTTATAGAGCCCATACTGATGGAGGGGTCTGCAGAGTTCAGAATCCTGAAAGACAAGTGGACTGCAGTGTCTGCAGATGATAAAAGGTAAAAACAACTCTTGGGTGTGGGCCTGTAGTCATCATGTAGCAGAGCACTTCTAAAAGCTATCCCAGCTGAGCTTTGACATTGCTGTTTGTTTGTCATTGTCTGTTTGGAATTTAACCATATGACATACAGTTCATGAATTAGTGAACTTTAGAGGTGCTTGTCAACTTATTTTTTGACTGTTAGAAAGCCAGACAAGCTGATTCTA